TTATTTTCAGAGTTGATTTCTTATAATCATTATTACTACTTTGTCATTGCTTACTAACATTTCTTAACATGTTTGTTGTCATCATTTCAACATTACCATTGCTGCGAGTATTATTATTGCTTTTTAAGTATTATTACTATAATAGTTATCAAAATTATGATAATGATAACAATAATAATAATAATAATTATTATTATTATTATCATCGTCAATATTATTGTCATCGTCATTATTATTATTATTATCATTGTTTTTATTATTATCATTGTTTTTATTATTAATATTATTATTATTGTTATTGTTGTTGTAGTTAATGTTATTGTTATCACTATGATGTTTATTGGTGTTATCAATACCGTTATTCTTAATAATTTATATTATTACCACTTATATGGTTCTTATTGTGATCATTGTCATCCTCATAACCCCATCGCCACTACTACGTGTGCATCCTCGTTGCCATAGCCCACAAAATAGTTATTTTAACACGCACACGCGCGCACACACACACACACACACACACACACACACACACACACACACACACACACACACACACACACACACACACACACACACACACACACACACGCACACACACATACACACACACACACACACTGACTTACAGATTGATTGAGAACAGACACATATATACAGGAATGGCGATTGCCTATGTAGGCCTATCCGTTCCATATTGCTATTCAGTGAGACATGTACCCATTGAACAATACAAACGTAATAATGAAGTACATGTACCGTAGGTACATGTACCTACGCTGATATATAGATCAGTGCAGTTCAGTTCAGCAGTTCAGATGATTTAGTGACTAGGGTAAGCATTTCCTGTTGGATAAATCGTTGCAAAAGTCGATAATTGAATTACTTTTTTCTCTTTCATTTTTGTAATGCCAGAAACAGCCGGTCTCTCTTGAATCACGTCCAATATCGAAACGCGACTGCGGAAGTCCAGCCCCTTCAGCGGGAAGGCCTTGCCGGCCGACGGGAGCGCCGGCCGCCTGGCCCTCGGGCGAGAGAGGGCGGCTGGCAGCAGAGGCTCCTGTGGCCTTGGCCTTGGCCGCGGGATGAGCTACGCAGCCGCTCAAGGGCTTTGCTCTCATTAGTGGGTTTATCTTGTATTTTCTGCATATGTCGGTGATTGACTTTCTACAGTTACCAACCTTGGAGGTTTCTTCTCCTACCCCTCCCCCCCTGCTTCTTCTTTTTCCTTTTCTTCTTGACTTCCATCTCCTCTTCGACCCCCACCACCTTCTCCTACCCATTCTTCTTCTTCTTCTACTATTATTACTACAACTTTTTCTTTCTCTCCCTCTCTTCCTCCTCCTCCTCTTCCTCCTTCTCTTCCTGCTCCTACTGCTCTTCCTGCTCTTCCTGCTCCTCCTCCTCCTCTTCCTGCTTCTCCTCCTCCTCCTCCTCCTCCTCCTCTTCCTGCTCTTCCATCTACTCCTCTTCCTGCTCCTCCTCCTCCTCCTCTTCCTGCTCCTCCTCCTCCTCCTCCCCTCTCTCTCTCTCTCTCTTTCTTTCTTTCTTTCTCTCTCTTTCTTCTCCCTCACCCTCTCTTTCCTGTCTTCTTGCTCTCTCCCTCTCTCACAGCTGTATGACTGACTGAATTCCGGGCGTTGGTTCAGCCTGGTTGTGTCGAGTGGAATGGGCGTAACTCATTATGTTGGTGAAGTGACGAGAGCATTTTGGGCGCGGTGTAAAAGCCTCCCATTAGGTCGTGGCCTGTTGATTCCCTTTTTTCGACGGTTTGGTGGTAGTGTTCGCTACAAATGTACAGTGAGAATTCGTCTGGAAGAAAGGATATTAGATTAGAAGAGAATGTTCTCTGTGTTCGTTTCCCTCTCGTTATCTTCATATTTTGGATGCTATTCATGTGATTTCCCATTTTATTTTCATGATTTTTATAGCGTCATGGGATTAGAGTTGCTGGGACGATACACATACAGTAGATTGACCTTTCCCGCTCGTTTACCAAGCTCTCGAGGTGTGAGATAGTCCAGACCTTTTCAAGTGATGGAATATTTCACATTAGATTAATCTTTGTAAATCTCATTTTTTTGTAGAAGAAACAATTTTTTAACATGTGAGTATTTGTTATTTTACTTGTCGACTTATATATCATTCCTCGTAGAATGATAAAGCTTATGGCTAAGGGCGTATTTTCTCACCTCGTCGATAGTCACTGATACGTCATATACAATAACGAGTGATAACTCCACCTTGATAAGGGTTATCACAAACTCCCTCGCAAGTTATCTGGTAGAGTGTGTGAATCATTTGGGCAATATCTGTGCAGTGTTAGTACGTGCATAAAATATTGGCATTTGCGAAGAATTAAATTACGCTGACCATGCCAGTTTTCATTAATCGCAGACAGTGTTGTCAATAAAATTCGAGAATCGTTAAGAAAGAACGTTGTTTGGTATTTTTGTAAGCCATGAGTGGCCGTTAAATTGACAGTAATCAATTGAGTGGGACGACACGCCAAGCAGAGTTACACACTCAGCTTAGTGACATAATGACTCACGCAGCATAAATGACGTGACACATGATCGAAGGAGAAGTCCGCAACCGCACGGCCGGAGTGAAGCGCCGTGTCCTCTTACACCGCAGGCGGCGTGATCAGCTGGCCGGGTGTCACTCGCGGCAATTATTCGCGGCGCCTCACTGGAGAGGCTGTTGGGGACATTCATCTCACTCGCAATAATTATATGAAATATTAGTAAAGAAATTATTGTGGAATGAGTCCAAAAAAATAAACTTACTCTGCTGTTCTGTGGCTTTCCAGGGTGTCTACAAAGTTGGGTTTGTGTAAAAGATATTAAGTTATTAATTTCATCAGACAAAACCGAGGCGTTGCCGGCGGGTAAGAGTGAAGTAGCGAACAGCCGTGAGTCTTTCTGTCATTCTTCTTTCAGTGGTGTCCAAACTTTACTCTAACATAAAACTGTAATACTTCTCTTTGACAAAAAATGTACTTTTCTAGATTAGATGCACGAAGAAAATAATTTTGGGCTAGTTAATTAGGAAAGAAATAGTTGGTCATCAGTATTGTCAAACCAATTTGCAGGCATCGCTCTCTTTTGAGCCATCTGGATCGATTATAATCAAACTCTTTTTTATCGCTAGAGGGCAGTGCTTTGCATGGCCGCACGTAAGGTACTCATTCTCTCCTACATTCGCACAAAGCCCCAGCGCCCTCGTTTCCGCCGCGCCCTCCGTCGTCTCCATCATCGCCTACCACGTAAGCCGTCCTCCGAGGACACCGAATCCCTCGAAAGTAACATCATCCTTCAGCTATCGGAGGAGGGCGGGTTGCGGGGCGGGACAGGAGTCGGGTTGAGTAGCGGGTCTGGAAATACCTGTCCTTGCGGGAGTTCCTAGGGCGCCCACTGAGGATGGCAGAATGTCTCAGCACATGCCTGTGCGACGAACCTCAGTTATGTGTATCATGTTATATTTTTGAGTTTTGATATTTTTAGATTAACCAAATCTGCGACTTCCGTGATATGATTATATATATATATATATATATATATATATATATATATATATATATATATATATATATATTTATTTATTTATTTATTTATTTATTCATACGCATATATATACATATTCATATGTATTCTTTCTTTTCTTTTCTTTCTTTCTTTGTCTTTTTTATGGATGACTTGCTTGTGAACTGTAGGCTATAATTCGTTTTGGGGTGAGTTGCAGGATCCATGCCCAGTTCATGGGAGCAGCCGCATGCTAGTGCCTCACTTGTGACATTATTTATATAACTGCGGCCTTCAAAGTGCCTTTCTCAGCACTATATAACTGAATACAACTGCATTATGTCAAGAGAGACGGAGGACACCTTATCGTTATGGCCCCTGGGAACCCCACACCGGATGGGATGTCTTGATAGCTCTGTGTTTGTTGTTTCCTTTTGTTATGCTTGGTCCATCACCTCAGGGTTAATGTAAATGACGGCGATCTTGTTTTTCTCCTCCTTCTTCAGTATATTCTCTGCAATACTCTTCTCTCTAACGTTGTTTTGATTCGTTTTGCTGTTGAGATATTTTCCAATGTTTCATTTTTTTTCATTTCCTGTAAGCGGCTTTCGATATGACCCGCTTTCTTACATTCTTACATTGTTCTTTTGTTTCTTTTCTTTTGTTGTTTTTTCCTTGTCAAAAGGTCACCTGAGTGACGAATTCACTCATTCCTGAAATTTCTAAGGTATCCCACATTGTATTCAGTCAGAGATCTGGAAGGAACGAATGCACTCAGATTAAAATATTCCACAGTATATTTAGTGTCCAATAGTTCAGAGGTGGAAGATTGCGTCACCCTCATAAGACATTGTTTAGGGCGTATCAGCTGGGACAATGGATGAATCACGTGGCCTCCGCAGGTCTGCCTTCATTCAGGCTGTGGCAGGAAGAAGCTTTGAAAGTTACTCTGATAAGTGATATTAGAAGCGGGGTAGCTGTGTTCATGCCAAAGTTTCTTTGTGTAATACTTTTAAGGGAATAATTTAGGGCGGGGGTTATTCATGACTTTTTTCAGATACTTTTCTGGCATTGAAAATATATCATGCTCCCGAGCAGTTGGTATTCCTGGGTTGCCTGGTGAAATAAAGAACAAAATCTGGGCTTAGTTTCCTATCGCATCTCTGTGGATTAAGTTCACTTCCGGCTTTCGTATCATACGTGTATGTTGGAACAGCTTTAAGTCCTTACTGTTTTTATTTTATTTTTTTAAATGTATAGTAGTATATCCAGTATTTGAACGTATCGTTATAATGGGAAAGTTCTTCCCAAATACACCCAAAATCCCTGACCTAATGAATTACTGATGAATACGATAGCGATGTAATTGGTGTTGAATCGCTGGGAAGATAATTGCGCATCATGGTATATCTGTTAACACGTTATAAGGTTGATAAGTTTATAGTAAATCTAAGAATATTTTTCTTTCTTTCACAG